ACAATTTAATAGAAGGACACTTTCAAACGCTGCCCTTGTGTTAGAGAGAGTGTGTGCGTGTGATAAATGGTAAGTGTGGAAGAGGGTGTGTGTGTGTGTGATTGGGTTGTGGGGGGTTGATCAGTTGACAACAAGCAGCAGGTGCATGGCGCCTGGCATTGGTAAAAAAAGGCGCACAATTTACGCACTGACACATATTCGAAATTACACAAAAAGTCAAAATGTCACACATCTCATGACGTTTACCTGCTGCAACAACGTCAAATTATAAAACTGCCGACTTGACCCCATAACCACACATCACTATTACCATATAGCTTGATTTTTTTTTATAATTCCCACTGTTCATTGAGTTTTATGGTATTTTATGTCTCCTATAATCCCTTTAATATTACTAAAATCGTGTAAAAAGCTGTGGCCATTTGCTGTAATTCCTCTAAAATGTGTTGCAGGATAACTGTGATTTAAGGGTGATGGTGAGGTGAAAATATAATGTGTAATTAATGCACACTCGGTTGTTTTGGCCTTTACAAGGATGGCTAATTGCTGATAATATTTCACATAATAATAACCCAGAAAAGAAGAACAGTAGCTCTCCGTCTAAAATGTAGAATGGCAGGTCATGACCATATAACTTAGTATAAATTACGACTCAGTCAAGAAGAATGCTGCAGCCCTGCGTCTTACCTATTGAAGAAAGGAGAGAGTGAGAGCACAAAGTTTATTCCAAAGGGCCCCGCTCATTCCTGCACTGACAGCCGCGCTGCTGAGGCTATATGAAAACTGGTGCTCTTTGGGTGCTGCATGAATACACACCAATAGGAAAGTTGTGTTCAGTTAACCGGTGAAATCCGAGAAAAAACAGGGCAGGGCAAGTATTTCTCACCGCCAGACTCCGGCTTAATAGTCCCCCCCCTCCTTCCTCTAGTCCCCTATCGTTGGACTGACAGTGCCTGAATTAACTTCGGTACACAAGATGTTGTGGTTGGGATGAAAAGGAAGGTAAACTATGACCTCTAAGCGGATCATCACGACGCAAACAACTATCAATCCAAACAAAAATCAGTTCTATTTTTCAGAAGAGCATTCGCTTGTGCTTTTCTCCTCCTAAAGACACTTTAAATCACTTTGACTTCAAATCTGGAAGCCATAAAAAAAACTAATCGTCTTTATGTTGTTGACGTTGAGCTTGATGTCCACGCAAATCTTGTTTGACAGATGCACTTCCACAGATAAATGCAAAACAACTTAAGGGAGCGAAAAGAGAAAAACATGCGAGTCTCCATTGTTGCCGCACTTGTCTCACATTCTCGTTTACTCTCATGTAAGTATCACACACAGAGATTACTCCTCGCTAAGTTCCTTTGTCTTGTGATCCATATTTGAGTTGACAGATCACGAACAAGAGCTCCCCCACTGTTAATGACCCCAGCCAGCAACAGATAGACTCACACTTCCAGCACTTTTTACTACCGCCACTCTGGCCTACATATGTTTACAGCGAGCTACAATCAGGTACCTGTTTACATGCGTCTCATTTACATGGATAAACATGTTCTAATGGAAAATCACTATAATATTTAATTAACCTTAACTCTTTTGGTTTGTCCCTAGTGTCATATCCTAGCGTCGAGTTCCTACACTATTTCTTTAACACACAGTTTGTTGCATTTATGGAAATATATAAATAATATTCTATTTGTGTTTGTACAAGTAAGTACAAGCGCAACGGACCCATCAAAGTGTGTGGGAGGCGACTGCAAAGTTTGCACCTTTAACTGACTTTTAAAAAACAAAAACAAAACATAATTTCAAACAAACACATCGCTTCAATTTTTTTTTCTCAACTAAGTTAAGTTTATATCTGCATATTTACACTGTGTTTCTAGAGCCTTGGGATAATGAACGCAACGTTGCGCAAATGAAGCCCATTCATCGCTTGTTTTGTATTCATGAGTCCCTATCTGTGGTTCCATCTCTCAGATATAGCCCTAATCCTCGTGTCCTCCTTTGCCGATAAAAATGCTCTTCAGTTTACGATTAATTTAATCTCAATCATAGCCGGGACTTGTCGCAGCCAATAAAACTTGTGGAGTGCGTAAATGGAGAGGTGGGGGGGTTGTGTGATAAGGGTCTGGTGGTGCTGCGGTGCCATGGCCCCTCGGTGCTCTTGATAGGGCCTATCTGTCTCTGGCAGGCCGATTTAAGACCCGGAATGGGTTTAAAATATGATACAGATTTTCTGCATCTGCAACCGACTGCCAATGAGTGCGGCGGGAGATGGTTGGTTTTGTTTCAGCCAGGCAGGAAGCTGAGCCTTGCGTTTGTCTGCATTATGGCCTCGGTTATTTCAGGATCACAGGCCTATTGAGTCTTATGTCTGCATCTTTTGACACACTTGTTTTTGTCTTTTGATTGATATCCGTCTGAGGGAACCTTATGTATACAGATAGCTTTTGCGCACATTTCATCCAGTGGAGGCTGAGGACATTTAAGAAAAAAAACAAACATAATCCATCCGATCTACACTTTCTACAACTAAGTTTATAACAATTTAAACTTTTGTCAAACTGAATCTCAGCTTTAGCGAAGAAGATTTTACTTTACAACAATAAAACAAATATCTTAACTGTTTTTATAAGCTATGATTAATGTTAAGTTAATGTTTTTGTATATACCCGTGCCCATAGTCTCCTTTGTTAATACCCTATAGCCATTAGATTAACAAATGTAACTAGTCTAATTAGGCACTTTATTGTATGAAAATTGTTCCACTGGTCTCTATTCTAAATGTTAAAAAAAACTTTCAGCCTCCTTTGCGTGCGCATACATACACCGCCCATAGAATTTTATATTTAAACTCTAAAACTTTGCACAATATTGCCAAACATCCTGGAAAAATATCTAAATATCCTTTTCCTCAGTGAAACCCTAGTAGGCCTACGAGACTTGTGTCCCACTTGTTGGAGACAGTAAAGTTTCAGTTTGAGTTGGATTATTAAAATCAAAGGTCGGGGAGAAATGTGTCTCGGTGAAAGAACTGGAGGATTACACTGCTGATGTCGCTGCCGTAGCTTTTTCTGCCAGTCTCCACTCTCTAAAAGTCCTGCGGTCTCTCTGAGCCAAACAGCAGCATCTGTCCTACTTTCTGTTGCTAAAGACACGACAGACAGTCGACGCGTATTGCAGAGTTGCCTGCAGTTAATACACCGCCGTATTTACATGGAGGAAACCCTCAGCGCTGCTTTAAGGAGGCAGAAATCTTTGCGCAAGTGTTTCCACCAAAACTATAGTTCCTGCAACAGTGTCCTATAGCAAATCTGCCCTAGTCTGCAGCATAATTGGTTGGGGATTTAGATGGAAAGGGACTGCAGGAGAGAAAGCCTTTTTTTGGAGGGGGAAATGGTTCTCGTCCGAGGAAGAAAAGCTCTTTTCAGCGGGCCACAATGGGAGATTGGGACAGGGGAGGAGTCCCATCGTGATTAGCCCATTTAATGGCGCGTTTACTTAATTTCTGTATTCACTAGCAACGGTAAACAAAAGGGGAAATAGCACTCACATTTTTAAGTGCTACATGACGTTGACGTTTGCCAGAATTTGTGTAGTATACATCAGTCATATAGGGCGATTTTACCTACATCACATGGATTTGAACTATAGGGGTGTAATGATAAATTAAAGAAGGGGTAAAGTGTGATTTCTTCTGGAAAAATAAAATCTACAACATTTTAATTACAGCATTAGATTTGCGTTTTGTCATTGTAAAAGAAGCAAACAATTTACACCAATATGATGAATAGTCTTTAAAACAACTCTGCTCCGAGTAAGAAAAAGAAAAAAAGAGGTGAGTTCAGCCCGCTGACAGCATAACCTGGTCCGGGAACGCATAAGCCACGATGAGCATTAATGCTTCCACAATCCAATAATGACCCAATATGAACATGTGTTTAGCCACTTATCAATGCCCTTATGCGTAATCGGATGGAGAGACAGACATCATGCAAAGAGGTATAGCAAATTGAATACTGTATTTGATTTAGAAACGTGTGGTACATTAACATAATAACCACGCAAGAAAGAAACATTGAATGAGCTAATGTAAATAAGCGCTTTGAGCGACCCTGGGGCGCCAGAGAGGAGAGGAGGGGGGCAGCCTGCAGACGTGAATAAATGTAGAAACAAGCTTTTACACTTTTCATATATATTTTGTTTTGCATAAGTGTGACTGGTAACATATCAACACCCCCCCACCCCAAAAGTCAACCAAAAACAACAAAAACGCCTAGAGCACTTCAGTTGTAAGTTTTGACAAATATTTTATGTAGGAACACCAAGTCAAGAAAAGTGAGGAAGGGATAGAAAAGAGGATGAGACGGGGGAGAGCAATAATTATGTACAAGCATATTTCTACACGTATATTACAGACCGGGAGAATGATCGCATTATTTGAGATATACATAATTCAATATAAAATTTTGAAAATAAAAATAAAAATCTGATACAGTCATAAACGATCCCGTTCGACATTTTTTGACCATGTACCCCACACAGGCAGTGACAGAAGTGTATTTAAAAAGGTGCTTACGACTTAAAATGATTGTCTGATGAACACAAAGTAAAAACAGGATTGCATCTTGTCTGCATGGCGGCTGCTTCGCCGTCATCAACATCATCATCATCATCATCACTTGGACTAAAAACGGAGATGGGTGGGAAAAGCGACGAAGACAGCAAGACGATCTGTTTTTATTCCCTCTGATCGATGTTCCTGATGGAAAATCTTGCATTCAGGTTATTTTCCCTGATTACAAAATAAAAAAATAAAAAGACATCATGCAAGTAGTCTAGTAGTAGTAGTGGTGGTTGTGGTGGTGGTGGTGGTGTGGGGGTATGAAGAGGAGGGGGAGGCGTGGGTCCTTTGAAAGCGCTTTTTAATAATAAAAAAAACGACGTGCTTTTATCTCTTTTTATTTTAATATTTATATCAATCGGTCCTTTTTTCATCCGCGATATTTCATAAGTCTTTTTTTCTTCCTCTCAGGTCCATTTTCCCTGTAAATATTTCTCTTTTTGTTTGTTTTTGTGTGTTTTTTTCCTCCGTATCATACATCGCACTCCGAGTCACTGGATGTGACGGACAGGATGGACGTCCCAGTATCAACTCTCTCTGTCATACTGGAAACGCTGGTGGTCGGACTGGCCGCGGTCGAAGGCGACTCTGCCGAGCTGTGAGGGGTGAGACCGGCCTCTGAGAGAGACCTCATACCGCTCGGTCCTATTGCTTGGTGCTGGAGCCTGGAGAAGAAAAGAAGCGAGGAGGGGAGGGAAAAAAAGAAGAAAAAAAATGAGAGAAATGGCAATTAGACCTGAGAATGTCCCCCTTCCCCTCCTCCTCCTGCAAAATAGGGGTTCAAACTCGCCTTTCTTTCCCCCTGCCGGCCCCAGCCATGCATGCATGCTTTTATCAAATAGCCAGCTTTCAGGGGACAAAACACAGCACTATTTAGACTACCAAATGTTGGAAGAAATGTAATGGGGTTTTTTTTGTTTTGTTTTATTTTGTTTTTTCCCTGCAAAAGTAGACATGATCAACGCGCAAGTCAGTATGGGATTCAAACTACGTGTCGTATCACTACACAAAAAAAGCCTTAAATCCAACTTGGTGTCTTTTATAAAAGCAGTTTGAGGGCATTAACAACAGTCTGTAGCTTTTTCCGGTTTTTATGCTGTTTTTAGTGACTGTGTTGCATTTGCTCTACATTTATTATTTGTTCTTCTTTGCTGCACAGTTTAATGTATCCTATAAAGCCCCACGACTCTGCAGTTTCATAACACAAAATTTCAAATAAAATATAGGCCTTTGCACAACAGCAAAATGTCATGAGGCTTTGACACAGATGTATTTCCGTCTGATGGAAGTGGAAGTGTATGAATGAGTGACGTGGAGATCCAGGTTACTCCAATCATCTTAAATGTTTATCTCCAATCCACTCATCATAATAACTCCATCACGGCGGGATAATGTCAGGCTGGAAATATATCTATTCATTTAGCAAAAAGATTAGAATAGTGTTCATATGGCTTAGTACTCTCCGAGGTATTTTCTAATCAATTATAGCATTTCAATGGAATGATACCACACTTAATGTTATGAATACAGCCTATGTCTTGAAATGTTTTTTTAATACGCATGCCCATTTTAGTCAAGTAATAATAATATCTCCATTATCCTTTGAGATAATCTCTTTCCACAATGCTAAGTAACATGTGACGTTAAAATGATAAATGCATTGTAGTACATGATAAATGTAGCTACTATACGCCTTGTAGCTTAAATAAATCATTACATAGCTTTGGTAACAAACACAATAATATTTAAAATTATTTGCAAAACATGACAATTTGAACTGTATTTAAAGGTACAGAGAAAAAGATTTAACTTTTGGATAAACAGATATTAAGACTTCTCCAGTTTTATTTATTTAAAACCTTTTCCTGATTAAAAATAATTCATAAGGCTGTTTAAATTATTATCACCAAAATAATGGTTATACTTTAAATAAGTAAAGTCCAATAATGTTTATATATATCATTTTAGCACACTTTGCCATTTATTACAGTACTTTCACTCATACGGAAACGATAAACAAGCTGTTTCTATTTAAAAAGAACACTGCGCAATAACCGCCTCGTCGGTTTAACAGCAATGTAGTTTGAGATTATGTTATTATTATTTTATTATTAATAGTTATTTAAACAACAAACTTAAGTTTAAACATCAGTAGTCTTTTTTCCTATCTGATAAATCCGTATTCTGTTCAAAATACCTGCAAAGTTAATATTTCCTATCGGCTGAAAAGGTTTTAAGAAGCTCCTCTAAATGGAAAAAAAAGCATGTTATATTTTTCGGACAGTTTGGGATATTTACAACAGCATAAATAGTGTTTTCGATGTTCATCCTGATTTCACTTCATAAACAAAAATGTCGCCGCAGCCTTCTCCCTCCCCCTGCCAGACAGACTCGTCTTTTTCCTAGACAGTCTCTATCCGTAAGCACAACTACATGTTTAAGGAAAACTCCTCTTATTCTTTTGAATTTATGCATTTTAGGCAAACTTTTGCACATTCTCGTGTTTTGACAGCAAGGACAAAAATCACCAACCTGTTTTTTGCCGCCGCGGCTCTGTCTCGTTGCCTCCGGTTTTTAAACCAGTTTCCGACCTGTGTAGGAGTGAGTCCAGTGGCTTGAGCCAGTTCCCTTTTCTTGCTGGGATTTGGATATGGGTCCTGAAGGTACCACTCCCTCAGCAGGCTCCGTGTCCTCTCTTTGAAACAGTGCGTCTTCTGCTCGCCGTCCCAGATGGTCCGAGGCAGCGGAAACTTCTTCCGCACCCGGTACTTATCGACAGGTCCGAGGGGACGACCGCGGAGCTTCTCGGCCTCCTGGTAGTGCGCTTCCAGCCACATGGCCTGCAGTTTGCCGTGCGAGTCCTTGGTGAACTTGTGGTTCTCCAGGATGTGGTAGAGGTCTCTGAAATTCCCCGTGTGGAAAGCCACCACGGCCCGGGCGCGCAGGATGGACTCGTGCTTGTTGATCGCCTCGCACGCTCCCGGAGCCACAGGCAGGGACCAGAGGAAGCGGCCCAGCCGTTCGATGTCCCCGGTCTCCTCCAGCGTCTCGCAGACGCTCGCCACCTGCTCCGGGGAGAAGTTGAGGGTCGGTAGCTGAAACATGGACAAGTCTTCTGGAGACCTGGTGGTGGGAGCGCTGTTCGCCAGGAACAGAGGGCGATCAGCGAAGTTTGGCAGGAGGATATGGGAGGGATAAAGCTCTAAAGGGGATCTGAAAACCATGGAAATGACCTGAGAGAGAAAGCAAATTATCGAGAAAAGGGAAAAACCGAAAAAACACGGCAAGTAAAAAAGATTGAATGATTCAATGGCTATCGCCTAATGACACCAGCCTCATAATATCTCCCCCCTAAATCCGCCGTTGAGTGTAGCATTGAAACATTTTGTTTCCCTTTTCTATTGGTCTTCTTGGTGTCGTTGTAGCGTTGTCATGGCAGCCCTGCCAATCACTGTCAAGCGTGCCAATCATTAGCCAGTACGTAGCGCGAGGCTTTCACCACTTGTGCAGCACGCACAGGGGGTTATCAGAGTCTCCGATCTCCACAGCAACCCTCCCACCGCACCGCGCGCATCAGGCACAAGCCAATGCTCGCCTATCTGCTGAATGGAATGAGCAATTAGAGGGTGGAATATTATTGCGATCTTAACGAGGCTCGTTAAAGCTAAAGAAGATATGTAGACTGGAGATGCTTAGTAGAGACGGGAAGGGAGGGAGGGAGGCAGAGGGAGCTTTAAAAGGGTGACAAATGGACAACCAATGACTTCAACTCCGGAATACACGTTTTGAATAGAAGCGAGTCAATTTGCACATTATTTTCGCACAGTTTTTCCTGTAGTAGCTACTTTTTATCTTTTTCATCAGTCCATTCATTTTCGTGCGAGGGGAAAAGGAAGGCGTAAGGGTCTTCTACGTTTTTCCTTTTCATATATGTTATCACTTTCCATTTTCTTGTTTTCTAAAAGATCACATTATGACACAATCCTATAATCTTTTGGCGTTTGCCCTGGACCCGCCGATGATTTCAAGAATTGCATGTTTGCAATTTTATGACATGGTCTGAGCATGACTTTACTCGGGCTCGCTGGTGTGTGTGGTCACTTTGTGTTTGGTGGGTGCTGGTCCGGGTGTAGGCTGCAGTGTGATGCCGCTCCCCCTCCTGCTGTCCCCGTCCCTGTCTCTGGGACGCTGGGCGCAGCCCTGGCCCCCTGCCCGCTGCCTCCTCTCCAACCAACAAAATTTATTGTTCCAAATGAATATCGATGCGCAGCGTTATGTTGATTAAACAAAGGTCATGGCGTTTCAGTTCGAAAACTAATTTGTCAATGGCATCACCCTTTTAATGCCACCAGTTTATCACGGGTTTTTGTGATAGTGCAGCCCTCTAATTAATACCATTAGTATTGGAATTACAATCAAATGGCAACATGAAAGCTTCTTGGGGACATAAAAGCAGTTTTCATGTATTTGATCTAGTGGTAAGGACATGATCAATGTCCACATCCAGTCACAGGATTCGGCTTAGAGCAGTAGCCACGGCGGTGTGATTTTCATGTTTATGGCTAAAACGGCTTCATATTTAGACAGGGCTTATAGGGTGTTAAAATAGTGTGAGTTCACTCTAACACGAACAGTGCTCACATTGTGAAAGGGCCGTGTACAAGGCGTAGCATCTAGACTCCGCTTAATCCGCCCTCAATAAAGCTGACATAATGATCCTAAGCCGCCTTTCTACAAAATCATTCAGGAATTCAAAACTTTTCCTTCCCTCTCCCAGATTTGCACATTCTCCGGGGTTGGCCAGATAGACCACCGACTTCAAGCTTGGAGGGACAGTGAGTAGACCAGCTCGACATGCATGTGTGGTCAATGCTACCTGTTTGTGTGCACCATTTCACCTTAACTGACATACTTTAATAACGGCAGGTGCGAGCGTGCAATTACGCACGTCCGCGCACTTTTACGCACCGCTGTTTTAGGCAAAAAGGCGGGGTGCTTTGAGTCCCGCATGTACGTCCGTGCATGCGTGTTGTGCAAGTGTCTGTAGGTGTGTGTGATACAGAGCAGGGGTTGTGGTGATCTTGTTGCAGGGTCAGGCGTTTGGTTTGTGCGCGTCTGTTGGGATTGTATGCGATTGTGTGCGTGTGTGTTTGTGTGTTGTGTGTGTGAGGGGGTAGGGTAATATATGGGATCAAACCTGTCCACTGCGCTGCTATACGAACCTCAGGAGAACTAATTCCAAGTGGCACTTGAATTGGTCCCGTTGGAAAGCTCCGTGGACTGGAAGTAAAGGCTGGTATTTTCATGCTGGTGTTAAAACTAACCTCCTAACCCCCCCCCATCCCACCCTACCCCACACACACAAGCACACACACGCACGCACGACCCCAACATTAAGTTGATAGTGCAGGCTTAGCAGCACTACTCCGAATATGCAAAGCCTTCTACCTGCCTGGGTTTCCTGGTGCACCAATTTAGGTGATCACCATTCAAGCCAGGGCTGCAGGTATTATCCAGCATTGTGTTTTGGAGGAACCTTGTTTGGGAGTAGCCCTCGCAGGCAATTCGGAAATCACTCTTAGGAGAGACTAGAGGTGAAATGTAAAACCTGAATGGGGATTGAGAGGGAAAAAGCCATTGGTAATTCACATTCTTTTACATGGCTTTTGTTTACGTTAAGCATGTAATTAACACCCCCCAAACAAGTTTATTCACCTGCCCTAATTGTGTGTTTATCCGAGGGCTTGCTGAATGTTCCGAGCAGCGGGGGACAAGAGCTCTGAAAGCACATCGAGCATTTAGCGTCTTCTCCGTTTACTTACAGCCTAAACCTCCAGACACGACAACACAAACAGCATTTTGCACACTAAAACATTGATAATATGCTGGTCAAGTAGACAGAGAGGGTTTTGTGCCGTCACGTCTCTTCCTGTGACTTTATTGCTGTTGATTGTTTGGTTATAAAGCACTTTTTTAAAGTTTAATTAGAAAACTTAACATAAATAAAGTTGGTGTTTGCCTTGTTAAAGAAATATGGGTCCGGCAGCTCTTTCAGGGCGCAGTGAATCTAAAATGTTACCATTCTGGTTAATTGCCAATTAGTAAGTTATTTTCATTATCAGTCTGTTCCAATAAGGGCAGCAAATAAACAAAGCTGATGTTACGTCATGTACGGGAGTGAGAGAGAGAGAGAAGGGACCGGATGAGAGAAAGAAAGAAAAAGGTGTTGACTGTAAAAGGTAAGAAGGGAAAGTGAAAGAAGGCACGAAAGAAAGGGTCTTGTTTTATTTTTTTGCTCCCTCGTTGACCCCGGTTTGGCAGAGGCTGGCCAGAAAAACGCAGCACACCCCTCCCTGGCAAAGACAGGACAGACTCATGTGCCGGCTGCTTCATCCTGGATTCATCTCAACAATACACAAGACGAGACTTTGGAATAATGACGGGTACGTACCAAAAACATAACGTTTTTCATTTTCGTTACTCCTTTAAACTAAGTTGCCTATTTGTATGCAGGAACAGCCACGCGGTTGTTTACGAACGTATGATAACTTTTAATTATCATTCACATGTCAAGAAATTGATGAAATTTTATTTTGGTGACATGGAAATTCAACGCAGGTGTTTTTACTTCACCAGATCAGGAATTACCTTTTCTTCTTTTCGCTCTTGTTTTTCTCCTCGCTCTGCAGAGCTGTGAGCAGGGTCCAGTCCACGGACTGTCACCATTCGAGCTTGGGACTGGACGTGACACTGGTTCACTGCTATTTCACTGGTCAGTTTGTCCGAGATCAGGATGGGAATCCAACCGCTGCACCTGTAAGTTCAGTCTAAGCAGACCCGTTTTTCCGTCTTCTGTTGCCGATAATGTTCGGCAAACTACGACTAATTTTATTTTTCGGACGCTTTAAAAAAATATTTATGAAATGATGTAGATAAGCTCATTGGGCCTTTCTAGTTGATATGAGGAGGTAATCAGATTTGTTCTTTTAGATTGCGAAAGTCCGTTTTTAATTGGGTGTGTTTGGCTTTTTTTTATCCACCGAGCACCGGGGAGATCTGTGCCTCTGCAGAGCAGCTGTGTGATGCTGTCGGGACGGGGCGCACAATCCCCTCCGTCCCACGCTGGCCATGCCAGGGTACGGAGACTGTGTCTACACTGTAAAAAGTATCAGTCTAAACAAGTCATTTAGTGTCGCACTGAGTTTTGAAAATATGCTGCTTGCTGAAAAGATGTGAAACCCCTGGCAACGAGATATAATATAATTTGTTTCCATTACAACTTTTTTTATGACAATTTTTTAAATACATTTTCTTAATTGTAATGGAGAAATATCAGACATAATCTGTTTTGCTTTAAGATGCTAACAAAATTCCTGCAATGCGGAAAATTTCTGGGATCACCTTATTGCCACTGGAAGAATTTCCCCGCGTTTGGGGAAAATATGATAAAATTAGGATTGAAGTGATTGGATATTTTTTGCAGTGCATTCTCTTCTTCTCTCATATAAAACATATGCTCTGCTGCTGTGGCAATGTTATCTTATTTTTCCTTTCGAATCTTTATAGGCTAAAAATACGCATGCCATTTTGCACATGGTTTACTTGATTGGAAGACCTCAAGCGCCAAATCAATTAAATCGCTTACACCTTAAAACTGTAAACAGTTGTCAGCTTAGGCTAGTACTTGTGATGACAGGTGCAATATAGGTCACCCTCCATGCACGTTCGGAGAAGGATAAACACAACAATGCCTTAATGTGAAATCAAATCAATTTTGTCATAATGATCTGTAAATGTGGCGCCAACTTTAATAGCAAAGCTTGTACAAAAGTTTTTAACACCTCTCTCTCTCTCTCCCTCTCTCTCTCTCTCTTTTCTTTTATTGTTTTTATTGTGTGGTCTCATTAGGGGGACTTCCTGGCAGGGCTGGGAGCTTGTATCGGAGCTGTCCAATCAGTGTATTTACACGGGTTGTTAGCGACAGTTAATGAGGGCTCCTCCCCGGGCCGGTAGAGAAAGGCGCCTCAACATTAAGATTTACCTTGTGTCAACTCGTTACTTCTAATGAACCTCCATGCAAAAGCCTCCTCGTACTCAATGGAGCCGTGCGCCCGGATCTTGTGTGTGAGACCCTGGAAGAGTGGAGCTGCGAGCCGGCCTCCCTCTCCCCCTTTTCTTCCGCTCACTCAGGGAGAGTTGCTTTTTCTCTGCAGGTCCGGGCTCCATGCATGCATGCCTGCGTGCGTGTGTGTGTGTG